CGCACCTCGTCCGCTTCCACTCGCCCGTGCTAGTTCACCCACACCCCCGCCTGCAGCGACCCAACCTTCACCCTTACCCTCATCTGCCAGCCCTCTCTACCACCACTTCCTCTCATTTCGCCGAGCCCCTTGATCTGCTTTTGCCCACAGTGCCCTACCCGCTTGGGACTCGGGGCCCAGAGACCTCTTGTGTCTATCCTTTGACGGCTCCCGCACTTTCCCTTACCATTGCCCAGACCCTTCCTGGCCATTTGCTAGCACACCCCCGCCTCGTCTTTACTGTGCCCCCGCAAATGCCGATCTGACCATCCGACCCCCCCACCCCCCCCCCACCCCCTCTCGACTCTATCCCCCCCGCGTTGCCCCCTTCCATTGCTACAACCAAAACAACCCCCGGCCACCGCTCACCCCCGTTTCTTCCACCAATGCCCCCACTCTTATCCTGCCCCGTCCCCCTCACCACTTCCCGTTGACCCCCGCCCCTTGCCTCCCCCCACAGACTGCCACCTCCCACACCCCATTTCCGCTGCCTCGCCCCACTTTGCTAGTGTCTCGCACACCCCTTCCCCCTCTCCCCCCATTGGCCCTCCACCTCCATCCTATCCATCCCGGCCCCTGGGTGCACTGGTGCCCTCCATGGTCCCAGCCCCCGTCGACCCACACCGCTTCCATCCATCACACTCTCTTACCTCCCATTCTAGTTTCCCCATACACTATGTTTACCTCTCTGTCACCTTCTTCACCCACCTCACCCCACCACCCCTGCTTTCCCCCCATTCCCCCCCAGCGCCTTCCCGCTACGTTTGCATTGATTGCCAATCCTGTCAGCCTGCCCCCGCCCGCTTGCTCCCCCGTGGCCCACCCCTCAGGCCCGGACCCCCCGCACCCAGCCCCTCGTCGGCCACCCGACCATGTTCTAGATACTCCGTTTGCACCACTCCTAATCGCTCACCCCCCCGAGCTGCGTCTCTTTCCACCCGCCAAGATAGGGCTCGTCATGTCGTATTTGCCCTTACGTGGGGTCCCCCCCCCACCCCTGCCCCCCACTTTTCCTCGGCGGATACCCCTGGCTCGACACTTCCCTGCAGTGCACGCCCGCCACGCGTTCTCGATCTCGTCCTCCCGGCGCGTCCTCTTCCGTCCACTTGTTCTTATAGCCCTCGCTCCACCCCCCATGGGCGATGATTCCCCACCTGTGCTCTCACCTTGCCCTCTCTGTCCTGCTCCCCTTCCTCACTTCCTGGTTCTCTTCCTCTTCACACTACCTCCTACCATTCTTTCCATTCGGACTTCTACTTTTCTTTCCTCTCCCCTCCTCCCGCCGTCGCTTTCTACTCACCTGTCCTAGTTGTACCGCGACGGTCCACACGCGCCCTCACCCACACTCTTCGCGACCCCCTTCCTGCCGCCACCTTCTACACCCCGATTGGCCGCCCCGCTTCCTTATTTTACTTTTCCGTAGGCTGTACTCCTCCCTCATCTCCTCCGCCCCCACTACACCCCCAGCCCCTTCCATTTGGTTTGCCTCTCGGCCTGAGCTACCCATTTCTCCCCCCTTTCATCCGATGTACCTCTCCCTTTCTACCCCCACCCCTTTTGTATCGCAAGCCGGACCACCATCGTTCTTTTTCCATTGCCCACCCCCACCACTTCTTCATACGCTGGAGTCCCCCCGGCATGCCACCTCCCCCTGACTACCCCGATGCCCCCTCGTATCCACCTCAGCGCCCTCCTCCGTATCTCCTTCCACCACTATCTTTCCTCCCCCGGGCCCCACCTGGCTCTCTCGGTCTTAACCGTCCTGCGGTATCCCCCGGCCTCACCTAGCCCCTGAGTTCCTTTCCCCCCATCTATCTCCACACGCATAGTTAGGCGCCTGGCCGGCGCTGCCCATCCCCCCCGTCACACCTTCCGCGGCTCCTCCCTGCACAGCTTGCTGACACCCGGTGCGGCCTCCACGCCCGCCCCCCTACCCCACGAGCTTCTGACAGGTCTTCACGCCCGCCCCCTTTGCAATGTCCACCGAAGAGGTCGCACCAAGTCCGCTTACCGCAGGACACCCCCCAACTTTCTCATTCCCTGCACCCCAGCCACCCCGTGCCCTGGCGAGGTGTAAAGACCCCAACCTTCCTGTGACCTTATTCTGAAAACTGCTAGCGCGCGCAGGCTCTCCCCCCCGCACCCCGAACTAAAAATGGCTGTGGAGGCAACCACCCCTCCATGTGCCCCGCAGCCCCGCATCCGTTGGTCGTGTCCAGTTTTTTCTAGCCACCGTAAATGGGTACGTATTATGCCCTATTCACTCAGAAAGTATATCTAACATCTGCAATGTCTTATTTTCTTAGCCTTGTTGTATTCCAGGCATTCTTGTACGCCTCTTCCCATTTCGCTCTTTACACCTAACTCTGTTTGCCCGTGCCTGTCCTGTTTACTAAACCAAAAACCACTACTGAGTCGGCTTTCCGTGTGTTATTAGCTTCACTTCTGTGCAGGTCACATCCTGGCCACCCCCCGTTTCGTTTCTCTCGGAATCCGGTCATATTTGTCATCCTCATTGCCTCCCTCGTGTTGTCCTGCGATTCTGGAGTTGATTCAATGTGCACCGTACTCGGGGGCTTGTGTGGTTTTTTCGGGCATGTGTCCTCAATGTCCCTTATTACCCACGTGTCTTTAGCGCTGAGGTATCCGTTTATCATTCTATAGTTCTAAGTCGTCCTCCCTATCACCGCAATCCTGCAGCAAACCACCCTACTTTCTTTCTTTTCCGCTTCTGCTTTTATGCCCTGGTCTTCTCTTTTTTTCGCCCCCATTTTCTGACTGCCGCTATGTTGTACTGTTGATTGCACAAGTCCCTCTTTTATAGTTTCACAACGCCCTTTTCGGTGGATTTATCAGCACACGTTTTCCCGTGCCCCGATAACGCGCTCCTTCCTTCCGCATTCCCCTGCGGCATCACGCTGTCCTTAGGTAATATCACTGGGCGTAAAAGATATACCAAGGTTGCTCTTCCGCGGCCCGCCTGCATTCGTAGAGGACTGGTACGGCAAAATTCACTCTTTGTTCACATTCTGTACCTGGGGAGAAAATTGCAACACGCCAACATTGCAGGTGGTTTGCCTGGGTTGGGCCTGCCGCATAAAATTACCTAATCAGCAGTCTTTAGTGGCTGGCCCCTTGGTGGGGGCGATATACCGACTTGGTATTTCTTTCTTAGATACAGGAAAAGTTTGTAGTTCACAAACGTTTTTGAAAAAAACAAAATTATGCCATGCTAAACATTGCACATTTAACTTCCAGCTCAGAAATACATACTAAGTATTAAGAACAAAAATAATGTGCTATACTTGTAAGATGTTCATCCAATTGTTAAGGAAGATACATGTTATTAATATCCATATTTACGCTGTTGTGAAGACTTTGCATAACGGGTTAACAGTTTCTCTTCTCAAACCTCCCCACCGTCGCGTGGCATGACCACCGTTCGCAGACGAAAAGTGCGTTTTGATGACCCACATCCATTTGACCAAAAAGTGTTTACACCCCTTTTACGATTCCCTGTTCCTTCCGACGTAGCGGGTCAATTCCGCTTCACCGGCTGTTAGTGTTTGCGGCCGTCATCCATGCAATTAAGATGGAATTCCTCGCATGCTTTACGTAACCGAACACAACTACGCCTCAGGTCGCAAGAACCCAGGCCCTCTTTAGATCTGCCTTCGCATTTAAGCTCTCCACTTTGCTCCCACAAAGTCCCATGGAAGGCGTCCGACTCATTGTACGAGATCGGTGGCGAATTCCCTGGACACCAGCAGCCACTCTTTTTGACGGCCAGAGCTTCGGTCGTGACCTTTATGGCGTCCAAATTCGCGACTTAATCTACCCAGTTCCCGGCTTCTACAGAAGATCACTGTATGCACCCCTTTTGCACGGTGCCCGGACCTACGAGCCGAATAAGAGCAGAGCTCCCGAAGAGCACAAATATACTAATTGAAGATCCAGGACCTCAACGGCGACCACGGTTACACGGTCAATGGCAGGACTTTGTGCAGGCACAGAATGGACTTGGCTCGCCCGCGGCCAAGTTACGGGCCTCTTTATTTCTTTCCGCTTAGCTTCCTTTCGTTATACAATTTCCCTTCGGACTTTCCTGTCTAGTATCACCTGGCTCTGTAGGTTTTCGTCTCCCCCCAGGGCTAGTTTCGCACAGTGAGAATTAGAATTGCTCCCTTGGGCCCAGCTGTGATTTGTAATGTGCCCTTTGCGTTAAGTTTTTAAGGCACATGACGTTAGACCTTTTTTCATGGTCCGTATAGTTGTTGCCGGTTTTTTGTACCCTTTCCCTGTTTGGTGATGCTGTGTATGAGATCCCCTAAGCTTCCGCCGTAGTAGCGTGCTTCAGCTGCTCTGCCTTTCCCCCGCCGCGCTCGTTCGTGCCTGTCAGTCGCCCCCAGTCCGGGCCCGACGCGCCGGTTTTCATGCAAGATGTCCAGCTTAGGCCCCCTTTGTCATACAACTTAAATACGTGTGTCGGCTGCCTCCTTCTCTTTGTTGTTCTCCCTTCTTACCCTGTAGGCTTATCGGTCCGGCTCCTTTCTGCCCCCCTTTGGCTGGCTTGGACCCCCCCTGCTACCCCTGCTGTGTAGCTCGCAAGGGTGGGCCTTGCTTGTCGCGCGGGAATGGCCCGTGTGTAAGCCGCGCCTTTCCTGCCAGGCCCTATGCCCGATGCCACGTCTGCTCTGCCCGAATTTGCTTCACATCGTCACTTCCCGCTCTCGGCAGGAGCGTGATCACCCTTGAACCACCATGCTGACATGAAAGTTGCTGCTCGCCCCTTGCCCCTTCTGTCCACCTTCCTTGCGCTTAGCCGTTTACACTCGTGTTTGGTCCCCGTGGCCTTGTGGGTTCAGCGACTTTCCCTCTTCGCCAGGGTCGTTCCCGGCCTATCTTGGCTCTTCTTTCTGGTGGGGGCCACTAGGCGTGTCCTTTGCACCCCCCCGTTACTGTCATTTTGCTCTTGTGCTTTCATTGTCCCTTGGCCCGTTTTGCCCCCTCTCCTGTAAATGCGCAGTGGTCGCTAGCTTGCCCTGCAGGTTTGAGCATTTCCGCCCGATCCTCTTCGGCAAGTACGTCCCACGGCACTGTCTTTTCCGCTCCCACCCCCCCTTCTGTGCGGGCCGTGCTTCAGGTTCCTCTCTGCCACCCTTTCCCCGTTGTTCACGTCCTCGCTTTTTCCCGGATCTACCTGGCTCCCCTCGTCTGTTCGCGTTGCTTTGCTGCTCCGTTGGTCTGTCTGCACTTTCTAATCCAGCAGACCTCTCCGCCCGTTGCTCCACTCTGGTGATTCTTGCTTGAGAGCTCATGGGATGGTGGCCACCCCTGCAAGACACATAAAGTCAGGCGGGGATATGGAAATAAATCATCTCGAGCACTCAGTTCCTGCTGTCCGGGGGTAACCAGATCTGGGAACCCGCCCTGCCTCCCCTCCCGTTATTTAGGGCACCCTGTCCCCGGTCCCATTCTTTCTCTCGGCGTTCCTTCCTCCCCGCTCCCGTGGATATGTCATATATAAGCCCGTTTACGGTGGCACGCCAGTTCTCATCGCACCCCCCAGCAAATCTTTTCCACCTAGGCCACTTATTTGGCTGTCTTCCACCACAAATCGCCGGCTATAATCTCTTTATGCGATGTTTAGACAACGGCCCCGTTTCTAGGTCCGGCGACGGCCTCAGGATTCTGCGTGGAGACGTCCGCCCCCGGCACCACTTCCCCCCCCTTTCCGTCGTGCCGAGCACGATTGCGCAGACTGTACCTGCTCATTCCCTTGTCGAGCGCCATTCGGCCGTTTTGGAAGCAGGCAAGATAAAAACATGCAACGCCTTCGTCGGGAATCGAACCACGGACCTCTGGAATAGGCGCCCAGCCTGCAAACCACCACACCACGAAGGCATGCCAAGAAGGCGGGAAAAATGCCTTATAACCTGATTAGAAACAAGCACATCTACGATGACTTGAAAATCGAGCCTATAATGGACCACATTACTAAATGAGTATTTCTTCGTAACTGGACTTAACTGTGTTACTGCAAAATTTTCAGAAATTCTTAGTTACCAAATCATTCCCGATGATAATTTCATCAGACTATTCTTTACTCAGATGCTTAAAGACTACAATTTCTCAACCTACCTTTGATTTGCCGACATTTGCTTGTTTTTCAGCGTGGCGTACCTTTTGTCTTTCGTTGTTTTCCATTTGATTGGCACAGAGACATTAGTACAGAGACAATGCCCCCCTTTTACCTCACTTTCATGACCGTTCTTAGAATTTTACCTACCAGCTCGTCAAACCCATGTGTCCTCAGAGGCTTAATTTTGTTATCTAGCTTATTGAGGCTCTTTCGGAGTTCACATAAAAAACTTATAAACCGTATCCGTTGCCGCGTTGAGGTAGAGCCTGTTCTGGCTTCGTATGCGCGCTACATATTAGTTTCTATTAATTCTGATAGTTGTAATTATTCGGCCATGTGTTTTATCTCAGCCGACGCTTTCCTTTTGACGTACTGGTAGAAATAGTGAAGCAACTTAGAATAATATTTAATTGCGCAATCTTTAATTACTGTTCCAAATTTAACTTAAATTTGACTGTTCTGTTTAGTTGCTTCACCACGACTGGTATCGTTAGCACAAGAAAATGTGGTTGCGTTCTCAATTCTGTTTGAATGAAAAAGGTTATTTAAAGCTTTTCACAACTTTGTAGTTGCTTCAGATATAACTATAATTCAGTTCACGCCTTTTAGAGGTTCTGCACTAATCAACATTACCAGATCAAATAAAACCCGACAGAGCTTTACAGCTATGATATCGTCATGAGTCATGTAGGGACATTATATATATTCCCTTTTTGGTTTGAAATATTTGCTTGTTTACTTTTCTTTAATAATTTAGCTATCATTCTGATGAGTGGAAGTTATGAAAACAAATAGCAGAGTAAGTGTTTTCATAAATATAAATAATAAATGTTGGGCATTAATACAGTTTTGTATGAGGAGATCCAAACTACCTGGTACCTCATAGAGTTAGTTTCAGGAATATGTAGCTTGGTGTAGCGCATACTTCAACTATGTTTCACATGCAATAACATTTACTTGTGTTAAAAGTTAAAAATAGGAAATTTCTTAAGACTTTGAAATAGGAAATCAAATTTCACCCGAAAACAATCATATTAACAGTAGGGAAACATTTCTTTCTAATAGTGAGAACAACTGAATCGTAAAACGTAGTAGAATTAATCGCTGTAAAGTAACAAACTTTACTTTTATGTGTTCCTCCATGCGCGTTTTACCGAAGCCAAGATCACGAAACATGTGTAAGGAGAATCTTCTTTGCTCTTTCCATGGCATGCCCAAAATAGCTCCGGTACCTGAAATAAAAATCAAAAGACATCACAGTGCATTAAATATGCATATAGAAATAAATAATTATTATACTTTTCTAAAAGATTTAAAATATTTCTCAGAGTACGTGTAACACATCGTACGTAATGGGGCTAAAATCTTCTTCCCCTTTCATAGAACTTTGATACAATGTCCTCTAGTACGGAAAACAGCTTCACTATAACGCGAAACAAATTTATTTACAATGCAGTGAAATATTTTGAGCCACAACATGCGTGTTGCATGGGGCTAAAATATATAATATGTGTACATAATGCCACTTACATATTGCTAAAGTATATAAAAGAAATTATTATATTTAGAATGCTTAGCAATTCTTTATCGAACTATTGCAAAGGAAAAAAACAAGACTTTTTAAAAGGCTGCCAGATTTAAATTTAAAATCAAAGAAAAGATTATTGATAAGAAACCAGGGAAAGTCAAATAAATTTAAACATATTTTCGTACTGTTGGGTCATACGAAGAACTCCAGATTTATATCATCAGTATCATATTCACTGAAACGAAATAAATTTACGATGTAAATTTTGTCAGTAGTAAAATATTTTGCCCTTCCTGCAAATGCAAAGAAATTCTTGCATAGTTTATTTGAGAGTAGGGAGTTTCGGTTATAAGGTATTTTTTCTCTTCTTTCTATATGGCTCGTGGTGTAACGGTAATATACTCTGTATATCTGTAGATAATAAAAATGTTATAAAATAATTCAGGGATTTTCGGCATAATTTTTAATATAAATTCGGTCATAAAGAGGTTAACCGCGTTAATCTAGCTCTTCGTTGCCCTTTTAGTAGCATACGAACTATATGTAAAAAATATATTATTTTATATTTAAGAGGAGTTTTTTTATTATTTACATAAACGAACTTGCATTGATTCAAATTAATAGCTTCAAAAAATATGTAATTTAAAAAACTACATATTTTAGGTGCTTTATTGTTGAATCCAACGAAAAACTTTAAAATGCATGAATAAAATAATAACAAACATAATCTGAAATATCATCATCAGCAGAAGAAAGGATAACAAAATATGAACTCGGAATAAAAATTTTAGAACATTTATACAAGAGTACGATAAGACGCTAATCAGGTAAATAACTTTAATGAAGAAATTCTAAGAAAAACTTAAGCTCAAATATAAATACAATTTTTTTGCTGGAACTGAGATAAATTTTTTAAAGCGTGGTTGTTATAGTAGTAATATTTATTAGTTCTGCACTGTGCAGTGAAGTGCTTTCTCAAAAGCAAAGAGTTATAAGGCTTTCAACAGTTTAGTGACAACTGTCAAATTTCCTAAAAAAACGTTATTATAGAAAGTTGTACTTAGTTTCAGTGAAACTACAGTCATTAGTAAATTAGGGTAAGGTTGCTATCGATGGGCGGGCTCCTTCGTTGATCCACCTCCTTTATTTTCTAGTTATTTAATAGTAGGCGCTACCAGTTGACCGTTTAACTGCATGAAGCTTGAAAATTGCCATTTAAATTGGGAAAAGATACACGCTCCAAAGATTGCTTTACAAGAAAGTAAGATTTTTGTATTTTCCTTCTAATTCATCAATGTATAGAAAATATAGATACCAGTAAGACGTTGATAGTGTTTTAGTTGTTACTGATAACATTTTAAAGTGTTAAATCAGCTTTATTTGTCTCTATTTACAATGATTGTTTACTTTGTTATAACCAAAACCACGGGCGTATTACATACCGGCTGCCAGTTGTTTTTAATGAGCCAGCAGCCTGTGTTGCCATAAATGGGTTAGTGGCCCAATAATGGACATATTGAGGCTAATATTTTGTAACTTTTTCAGTTGAAGAATAAAATGTCGTTGCATCTGGTTTAGTAAAAAGCTATTAAGAGTGATTAAAACTATACTTAGATACTGATCTCACTTTTTTTGTTATAAAGATAATTATAAACTATTAATCTAATTTTAATCTAAACCGGAGTATCCATAATTCGTGTGTAAAATAAATATTTTATTGAAATTATCGTAATTACTTCTTGCGTAATTTACGCCTATTTATAGTTTCTAAAATTGTATCGGCACAATAAATAGATTAAGAAACATTAAGGAACAAGTTTCTACGGCAGCGACAGAGAGAAGTAAATTTAGACGTTGTAACCCAGTTAAACATAGCAAGATTGTTTGGGATAGCATGTGAACAAGCAGCAACAGTAGGGACGGCAATGAATGGTTTTGCTAAAACAGGAGTCTGGCCAGTGAACAGAGATGTATTTTAAGACCCTCATTTTGTTGCAGCAGTGCTGCTTGAGACAAATGATGTTCCGCTTGCAGAAGTTGCTGACACAAGCCTAACTGCTTCTACTAGTGGACTGTCACATGACACGCAGTCTTCATGGAGAAAATCTGTTGCAACCATCACTGGAACAGAATCAGAACCGCTTCCAGCTGGTGCTTCAAATTGCTGTCAAACATAATTACGTTATCATGATAACATATTTGACATAATTTTCTACTCCTAGGTATGTGTAGTGTGGAAAGTAATATTTACATTAACACGTAAAAATCAATAAAATTGCCAAATTTGACGATTTTAAGACTCATTTTGTAAAAATGGCCCATCGATAGCAACCTTCTCCTACGCGCTTATTTCTGCTAATTTTCACTTTAAATTGTTTTAGGATTTTAGAACTTCATAATATGCTATCAGACTATGCAAGAATAATATTCACGCTTCTAAAAGTAAGAATAAGGAAAACAATTAATTACGTAAGGTATCTTCGCTGAGTTCGAAAGGAATATCAAGAGGTCTTCCCATGAAAACATCGTTTGCGAAAGCATCCTTTATTGATTGAAAATCACACAGCACCACCACAGAATAGCTGCCTAACTGTATTCTGAAAGAAGAAATCATTAAAATGTTCTCAAATTTCATTACAATGCACATTCTAAAAATTTAATTTAAAGAGGGGAAATTTTAACTATTCAATTTAATTGAAATCAATTTAAAGCTTTATGAGAAAATCAACAATCCTAGATATCAAAACGGAGATATTGCTTCAAAAAAGTAAAAAAAAAAAAGTAAGAAAAATTAATGAGCCGCTTTGAATTACAATTAAAAAAATGATTCAAAATTTAAAGTAATAATTATAATAATAGTAATGAAAAATGTAAAAATTATTAATAATTATTATAAGTTATACTATAATCATTTCCTAAACTTTATTATAATTACCCATAGCGCCACGGTGAAGGACAATCCAACTCGTACTCTATGACTTAATTCATCTGACTGAGTTATGAAAATGCTACCTGAGATACTTGTATTATTTTTGTTATTCGTAGAGGAATTGCAATTCATTAATTAGTCTGGTAAATTGAAAACTTTCATCATCCATGAGTTATTTATGAACGGCTCTCAAGATGTTATGTGATTCTGTCAGTCTTGTTAACATCTTAAAATGGTGGTCATTCTTTATGTTATTAAAATATGAACCCTTAATTATCATTAGAGTGTTGATATGTCTCGTTTAACAGCATAACGTATTTTCTTTTTCCCCACGTAGTGCATTTACTTATGTTGGTGCTTTTCAATGCCTTTTGCAGTGCCTTTCTAATTATCATTAGAGTGTCGATAATGCCTTTTTCTATGCCTTTAATTATTATTAGAGTGTCGATATGTCTCGTTTAATAGCATAATGTTTTTTTTTTTTTTTTTTTTCTTTTCAGGTAGTGCATTTTCTTATGTTGGTGCTTTTCAATATCTTTTTCAATGCCTTCTTAATTATCATTAAGGGCCGTTCTAACTGGGCTTTATCTGAGCTAACGGAGACAACTAACGTAGCCGACCCATCTCCAAAACCAGTTTTTTCCCATAGGGCAGCAAGTTGAAAAATCTGAACTGCAAGCATAGCGGGGCTAGTCGACACAGGTAACTGACTCCGCTAGCTCAGATAAACCCTAGTGGGAACGGCCCTTTAGAGTGTGGATATGTCTCGTTTAATAGCATAATGGTTTTTTTTTTTTTTTTTTTTTTTTTTTTTTTTTTTTTCAGGTAGTGCATTTGCTTATGTTGGTGTTTTTTCAATGCTTTTTGGAGTGAAAAAATTATGTTTATTATTACACTCAAAGTCACTAATTTATATGATCAGTTTATAAGGTATTTCTCCCTTTTTCTTAGCATGCCTTCGTGGTCAGCACGCTCGACGCGTATTCGAGTGGTACATGCTTCGAGTCCCGGCGAGGGCATTGCTCGTTTTTCATCTCTCTCAAAAAATACCTAATGTCTCTACAAGTTAAATGCCGCATTAGAAATTATTACAGTGACTCACATCCTTTTTTGGCCACATCCAGCCCTTTCACCATTCTAAACGATCATCCCCCCGTTTACAAAATTAGAAAAATAAAATACATGCACATTTATTTAAATTATTTTTAATGTGTTTTATAAGCTAACTTTTTTGTTCCAGATATTATTTTAATTCTCTTGTTATTCTTATTTCTACATTTCCTGAATCTTCCGATTTCAAAGTGGGCAGTACTTCCATTCACATGTCAATATTCGTTTTTAACTTTTGGCTTTCATTTATAAGATTATACTTGGTTTAATACTGCTACTTTGATCCTATAACCCTACCAGACATGCAGCGGTTATAGCTATAGGGGTTGAACAAAAATATGGAAACACCGAAATAAAAATATATTTCTGTGACTAATACAACGCAGGAAAACCATTCTTCAAAACTGCAAGCATTCAAAATAGCTTGCAGTCTTCTCGGTATGGATATATAGAAATCTTGTATGTTTTGCAAGGGAATATTGTACCAGTCTTCCTGTAAAATACTGGCAAGTTGAGTTAGCGATGATGGTAGTGGCTAACTCTCACGCAGTTTTCTCTCCAGAAAATACCACAAAGGCTCAATAATAGTGAATCTGATGCCTGTGATGGACACGGTAGACGTGAAAGTTCACCCTCATGCTCAGAAAACCAAAATCCAGTCCTGGACGATATGAGTGAATAGGAGCTCTATCGTCTTGGAATATGGCATCACAATTGGGGAGCGAAATTTTTACTATGTACATGATCATCAAAAATAGCTCCATAATCCTTGGCAGTAATGTAACCTTGCACATCAATGATGGGTCTGGCCCATGGAATACTACAATATGGCTGCCCAGACCATGACCGAACCCAGGCCATATTCCACTCTCGGCAGCAAACAGTCTCTATCATACGCTTGGGGCTGCGTTCGGCAGACGTAACCTTACCGCGAAGTTGGAAACACTCCGACCAAATGACAGTCTACTATTACGCTTCAATCCAGGTTTTATGACTTTCTCTTTTACAGGCATTTCATTCCACTTGTCTTTCTACAGGCATTTTCATTCCTGATGAGCGGCTTTTGAATTGAAATTCGCCCAAAAAATACCTTGCTTATGAAGCTCTCTTCACAATGTTTTGGTGCTGACAGGGTTTACGAGTGCCACATTTAGTTTAACAGTACTTTTTCGGATTATGTTTTATCACAATCGTCTTTAATGATTGTCTGTCATGATCCCTCAACAAGCATTATCATTCGCGGTGTGGTTTAGCTGATGCGGTTTTTATGATTTTCTTGTATAAGTTAAAAATCTCAGATAACGTGCTCTTGAAACGCGAAACACTTCAGCTACCTTGGTTACGGAAATACTCACCATAACCAGTCCTGGACAATTTGCCTACGTTCGAATTCATTTACCTCCAATATGATGCACTCACAACTGCACACAGCACTGTCCCGATAATTAATGACACTTGCAATGTAGTGAGGATGTTGCGCAGATGGCGTTAGTGAGCAAACCTATCAGCAACACCAATAGCTTTTACAAGAATAAACATTTCAATTCAAACATGCATTTTACGAGGTGTTCTCATATTTCTGTCCAACACCTGTACATCTCAGATAGTACGACAAAGTCTTATGAAGGTTTTAAAACAACTGTTTTTTAAACTGAGCTTTGCACATAAAGCCATGACTTCGTGCTACAAATAATTACAGCTTACAGCGATGCAAATAAATAAGAACAGTCAAACAAATTTAAAAGTTGATCTGCATTCAAAGTCTACACTGATAAATATTAAGCTGATCGATAAATTAACCGGAGCGTCAGATTTATGTATCGGGGCGAGAGAAACAAAAATAGAAATAGTTACATTTAACTAGATCTGGCAGAAGCTAACCATGTAGCATGCATGCCAGAAACACTCCTGAGGCATGAGAAACATGCCTCAGGATCCAAAAACCTCAGCTTAAAAGCACAACCGACTAATTTGCATTCTGATGAGGAATATAGAAAGAAGTAAATAAAGTAAAGACTAGAAACATAATAACAGGTTAGGCTAAAATAAGAACCTTATACATCTTTATGTGTGAGGTGAATACGAGCCATTTGCCATCAAAAGATTTTCCACAAAGGCAACCCTCCTCTTAGGCAGATGGCATTTCTATCTTTGTCGTATTCAAATAACCTAACGCAACTTTCTTTGTAAGTTTTCAGATGAGCATTCCATTACTTTGTCCACACTTAAAACATCTAATCGCTTTGTTTATCATATGTGTTAGTATAGAATTAGAGTTTTACAACCAACCGATATTTGACAAAAAATTCAAAGCAAAATGCGTTGCGTCATCTTATGGCGAAAGTAAGTGGAGCTGTCGAATGCACGGGCGCTGACCACTAAGCTCTATGGAGAGCTGTTCTACGTATAAGTGCTAACTGTTAATATAAGATGAGTTTAGGGGACGAAGTGCTTTTTTATGTAGAATTACAGAGCATAATATATGGATTAAAGAAAAGAAACTCAATAATCAGATCTCGGTTTGCTATAAAGTTTAAAGTTTTTGATAGAATGATGGTATTGATTGAGGTGGTATTGATTGATAATATCAATATCGATAATAATATCAAAATATTAATGAATCTAAACTCGTCTTCATATTTGGAGACATATGTAACAAATCAGTACGTAACAACTAAAAACTTCGAAACTTACTTTAGAAAATATCGTATAGGCTTCCCTTAAGTGTTTGACATAGCCTTATAGCTATTGATAGCAAGTTAATCATTTATAAATCTATTTTGCGTTCCGTGCTGTGTTTATGACAGTCCAATCTGGGCTTATTCTTGCAAAACAAACAGAAAACAATTTTAAACTGTCTAGAGTAGTGTGTTATTAAAATGTATCCTGGTGTTTCATACCAAAAAAGGATGCATAAAGAAATAAAAATTATCCACTTGAGGGCTTATCATCAATTAGCTTAACGTTTTCACGAAAGCATGGCCCGAATCAACAGTTTCAGAAACAAAAATCTATAACTAACATTTTAAAAATTTAAATAATAGTAAACGGCCAATAACCGTCTTATATACTTAAATAATTACGTAAGTTTTGTGTATATATGTTGTATTAGCTTACTATCCTGTATTGTTCTGAATTATTTGTATATTATATATTTACGACACCATTTGATTTGTATTTACCTTACTATTCTTTAGTCACCATTTCGATGACTAATGAATGATGATGAAAAATGCTGAAGTAATTTGCAGGTTGATTTTTTCCCTTTACCTGTACCTTATATGCCTTTTAAGTTTATTAACAGGAAAGTTCCGAAATTTTTAATTCGGCTCGATTTGGATTAGAGCTTAAAGCCCAATTGTCTAATGCCTTTTCTATAGATATTTTACCAGGTGACTAATCTGGTTTATGTGAAACAAAATTAACCAGATCAGAGTCAAATGTGCTATTTTGTTATTCAGAGACTGAGTTTGGTTTTGCGCCTTAGTACGCTGTTGATTACCATGTAAGCTACAATAGTATTATTAAGAGCATCTACAATATGATTTTTAAAATTAA